CTGGAGGTCTGAGCAGGAGGCCACTTAGGGAAGAGTGGAGAACAATCGCCTCCTTCTTCCTCTGATGGCTGGAACACAGTGCATTTTTGCATAACACAATATTTTTTTTCAGGTAAGGCTAATTTTTTTTATATTCCAATTCATCATGCTGGCATGAATTAACAAGGTGCAAGCCAACAGTAGCACAGGGTGGCTGAAGAACATTTTGCAATACTAAACAATTAAAACTAATCTTATTGTGTATGTGTGTACATTTGTCTAAATGGACCAATTCTTTCCCTAGGGAAGCAAAAAATGGACATTTTACGTCTGAATGGAAAATACATTTTTCCCGACACCATTTTATCAAGTTAAAATAAAAACCTTTGGTTTTACATAAATAATGTATTATATACATAAAGTCAGAAATGGTCAAGGGCTACTTTTCCTAAGAAGATACACAAATAAATGGCCAACAGCTTCATGAAAAGGTGCTCAACATCCCTAATTATCAGGGAAAGGCAAGTAGAAATGGCAGTGAGATTTCATACCTCCAGGGGGTGGGCTTAAGAAACTCCAGAAGCGTATTCTTTTTCCAGTTGGCCTGGGGACACCAGGGGAATTTCCAGACACATTTCTTAGGTCTGACGACAGAGAAATACCCAGCACCCACTGCAATAACCAAACCCTTCCAGCAGAGGGCACCATCCACCAACAATCCAAACTGCGGATCCACAAATGTGTGTAAGATTCCGCGATCTCAGAAAAGAGATCCCTAAGCGCTTCCTCAAAAAGTCAAACCTAGTTAGTTACCCGATCACCCAGCTCTTGCTCTCCTAGGTGTGTCCCCAAGTGAAGTGAAAACGTTTGTGCACACGAAAAACGTGTACACAAATGTTCATAGGAGCATTACTCTTAACAGTCAAAAAGTGGAAACCAACCGATGAGCAGAAAACCAACATAAAATGGGTGTCGTATGTCCATACAATGGACTATTATTTAGCCATAAGAAATAATATAGGGCCCTGGCTGGTGTAGCTCAGTGGATTGAGCTCAGGCCTGTTAAACAAAGGGTCGCGGTCAGATTCCCAGTCAGGGCAAACGCCTGGGTTGCAGGCCAGTTTCCAGCAGGGGGTGCCTGAGAGGCAACCATACATTGATGTTTCTCTTCCTCTCCCCTTCCCCTCTAAAGATAAATGAATAAAATCTTAAAAAAAAAAAGGAAAGAAATAATATAGGTTACAGTGTGGATAAACCTTGAAAACAGTATGTTTATAATAAAGGAAGCGAGGTGCAAAAGACCACACACTGTACAATTCCACCTATGTGACCGCAAGCAGACCCACAGAGGCAGGCAGTTGATGAGTGGTTGCCTCATGAGGACAGGGTGTCATCGGGGGGAGATGAAAATGTTTCAGAACTAGATAGAGGTTGCACAACCTTGTGAATGTATGGAATTATTCATGAGGTCATACTCTAAAGTGGTTATAATGGTAAACTTTGTTATGTGAATTTTCTTTCAATAAAGAAAAGAAAAAAAATCCCCTATACATCTTTCTAGAGGTAGATGTTAAGGAATCGGGCAACACCCAGGCGCTAGGGTGGGAGGTAAATGGTTTCTGAGAGCTTCACTGGAGAGGTAGATAGTACCAGATCCCCATGTATAAGACTAGCACAGAAACTGGGAGGATCTGGAAGGTTCCTGCTTTTCCTCTGATCTTAAAGGCTGAGATCCGCTTTCTTAAAGTGTAGGGTGGAGGCTCCAGTTAATCTGAAAGCAGACGGGAGGGTGACCCCTCCAGGCTGAAGGTTTAGGGCTGTGTTGACAGTTAAATTCTATTTTGTAGCCATACTCCTGGGAGGGGAGGCTGAGCACCTGGGAACCCTGAGGGAGAGGTCATGACCCCATGCCCTCAGGCCGATGGGCCTCTCAGGAAGAAACACTAGCAAGTGGAAGCTGGAGACCCCTCTTCTGGAAATTTCAGCAGGCATAATTTATTTTTATGTTTCGGTTTCCTATGGTCTCCCTGGAGGGTCTCTCAGTTTCACCAGAGCAGGGGCCGTTGTGTGCACTGAACTCACCATGGTCTATTCAGCAGTGCTCGGTGCATAGTAGGTGTGCTTCCAATACGTGTCTGTGGACTGGCAGCCGAGGCCACGAGGAAGCCCCTAGCGGAGGGGTGAGTGCCAACAGCGGAACTGCCCAGTGAGGCTCGGGGGGTGGGGTCAGATGACTCCGTGAGCAAACCTTGCTGGCACACGTGCACCAAGAACGGGCTCCCTCCACTCACCTCTGAGAAGGAAGGAGAGGACGGTCACCAGGGGTGTCTGTCTGGAAGTGACACCTGAGTTGCATCTCAAAGGAGGGCCAAGGGTTCCAGCGCCAGAGGTTGGAGCGGCAGGTCCTACGGAGAAAGTAACATTGAGGGGCCACAGGGGCTGACCAGCCCTGGGACTGCGGGGCGCTCGCAGGGGGTCAGCCTGCCAGAGGCCGCCTTGTGTGGCCACTGTACCCCAAGGACAGTGGGAAGCACCTGCGGGCAGGGGCCACCTACAGGCACACCTGGGAGATGCTGCAGGTTTGGTCCCCAATGACCAGAGTAAACATCACAATGCAGCCGGTCGCACGAATTTTTCAGTTTCCCAGTGCGCATAGCGATTGCATTTACATTGTCCTATAATCTATTAAGTGTACAATAATCACGACTAGAAAACAACATACATACCTTAATTAAAAAATAATTTATCGCTGAGAAAATGCTAACCAACCGCTGAGTCTTTGGTGAGTCATCGGCTTTTTGCTGAGACAGGCTCCTGCCTCCGTGTGGATGGAAACTGGGCCCTGAGAAGCACGGTGAAGCCAGAACTGCCTGCCGTCCCCTCCGGGTTACAGCCCCGCCCCTTCACGGCTGTTACACGGAGGGAAGGATGTGAGGCAGCCATGAGTGGAGGCGGCTGCTGAAACAACCTCGGAGGAGGAGGGAAGGGACGTAGAGGACTGCTTGTGGCACTGACCTTGACAATGAGTGTGAAAAAGAGGGGAAGGGTCGGGAGTGGTATTGGGCGGGGGGGCATGTGCTGGGGCAGGTGGCTGAGTGCCCCTGCGGAGAGGGAGCTGGGAGGAAAAGTCTAAAATACGGACAACCACCGCGGTCGTGGGGGCCGATGAGACGACCTGGAGAGAGCGTGAGGGGCCAGGGATGCCAAAGAACCCCATGTCGTTTGGATACGGCCACCTGGGAGTCACGGTGAACCGTGGGGAGCGTGGGGCTGTCAACGGGGCGAAGGAAGCAGCAGGAGTGTCATGATTTGGGGACGTCGGGCAAAACCTGCTCTTCTAAGCACCTCAAGTGTAGGCGGCGGGAGAAAGAAGAGTCGCTTATGAGGGATCGGGGCCCAGAAGGATATATTTTTTAATTGTTTTAATCATTAAGATGAGAAAGACGCACAAGGATAACAGGCCCGAGAAGTGGAACCAGTAGAAAGGATGCGTTTGATAATGATGTGGGAGCGGGGAGAAGGGAGGCAATGACCCTCTAGGGGGGGTGAGGCGAGACCACCAGCCTTCAAAAAGAGCAGGAATACTTTAGAGTCCAGTGGAGACATAGGTTTAAGTCCTCCCTGAAGCGGACACAGGGGCTTTAGAAAGGTAAGGTGTCGCCACGGACTCTGCTCTGCACCCACGGCTGTACACGCTCACAGGCCACACTTCCCTCCAGCCGCTGGCTGCCGAGGACTGAGGGGCCGAGAGCCCGTTCCCAGGGAGCCCCTCCCCGGAGGCGCAGGGCTGCTCTGGGGGCTGACCTGGGCCCAAGGGCTCCCCAGTGGCCTTGCAGAACTTCCTTAGACGAGACGGTGGCCTTGGATAATGTCCTTCCTGTCTTCGCGTGGGGTCAAACCCACATGGCATCCGCCACCTCCCCCAGCCCCCTCCCCCTTTTCTCTCCAAGTATTGGCTCGTTCTGTCCTATGGGCATCTGCTTCTTGGAAGACCCAGACTCACGCAGCCACCCACAGGCATCAGGGGACAGAATCACAGAAGCTGAGCTGGAGAAACTCGGGCCCTTCCTTGGGGAGGTGTTGAGACTAAGGAGATCGTGATGGGTCTCAGAGTGACAGGAAAACGGGCGGGGGTGCAGCAGGGGGACCCGGCTCACCTTCTCACTGCGACTGCCTGCCTGGCATGAGACAGGTCCAGACAGAGGTGACCACACGGGGGCGGGCGTGAATACAGACAGATGTGGGGGTGAGGGCGGGCCATGGGAGAGAGGCTGGAGGGGTCCCCCAGCAATTCTCTGACAGCAGGAAGTGAGGTGAACTCCTGGGGGGATCTTGCACAGAGGGGCGGAAGAGCTGCTGTGGGCGGATGAAGAGTAAAAGCTGCCTGAGGCTGAGATGGAGGATGGGGGGGAGGAGCAGTGTGGGCGGGAAGGTGGCTGAGGGTCTTGCCGGCCGTGGGGGGTTCTCTGGATCTTCCACTGAGAAGGGGCCGCACATCAGTCACCACTCAGAGGGGACTTGGGTGGGCAGATGGGATCAAGCCTTTATCGATAGATTGGAAGGGTACGAAAAAAGAAAGTCGGGGGGAAGAAGTAAAAAGAGGCAAAAGATGTTATCAAAACTTCCTTGTAACAGCTGTATATTTCAGAGTGAAAAAGGAGGCTTCCGTCCTGCCTTGTCCTGGGAGCGCTGCTTATCAGACAGATGTCCCTGTGGAAGCACAGTCTCTTTGGAAGGTCACTCAATTATGACAACAAATCAATGCTTAGGCCTCCTCCCAGGGAAGCTGCCGCTGCCTCGTTTCTGGGGGCCTCGTGGACTGAGGGTGGCGGTTCCCGTCTGGACGTGAGAGCAGTAACTGATCCGAGTGCCGTCCCCCGGTCCTCCCCTGGGTTTGCGGCTCTGCCCGATCCATTCTCTGTGTGTGCGTGTGTGCACGCACCTGTGCATGACCACAAGCATGCATACAACCAGCAGCCACGCAACAAACACTGGTGTTATCACAAAATGTGGGCCTTCGCCAACGAGACGTATGCCATACACTTTTATTAAATCATAGAAAACTCATACAAATTTTTTTTGGTTTGGAGAGACAGGGATACCGCCCAGCTGGGTAACACAAGAGGTGAACGGTAGGTCTCCCCGGAAGCAGAGACACGTTGTCAGTTGTCACGTTTCGTCTTTTTTTTTTTAAAGGTGAGATAATCAGCAACAGGTTCTTGGCCCCTTTCCACCTTTCAGCCACAGGACCCTCTCTCTTACGGCCCCCAATTCTCTTTTAAGATGTTTTTCATTACTGAAACCAACCGCAACTTTAAAGGATGGTTCACTTGACGTCTTAACGCAAGGGAAATTTCTTCCTCCCTAGCACGGAGCTCTGTATGCGCCAGATTTCAGGGGACGGCCGCACTCCATGGGATGGGGTGGGCTTCCCTTCCACAGCAGCGAATGTGGGCAGTGATGTGGAATATATCTCGGAATAAGTTAAATATTAAGACACAGAGCGTGGCAAGAACATCCTGGTTTTCCTTTCTACTGGGTAAATCTGGCAGTTCATTCTCATCTCACACGGTTTTGAAGGGTGAAGACCGAGGGGTCCGGTGACATCGAGAGTGGACAACGGTCCTCAGAACCACGCCGTTGTCTCCCTGCGGGGGCAGGATACACACGGACAGTCCCCGCCAGAGTCCTGCCGAGTTCATTCCCCGCCTCCCCCCACCCCGGGGCCCATGGGGGTCGGACTCTGAACTTCACCAGGTGCGACACAGTCAGCAGTTTTGTTTTACAGGTTAGGTTGTCGCCCGCGCTGCTCTCGAACGAGGCCCAGAAGGTCACACGGTGACCTGTCTGCACTTACCCCACATGCTCACATACTATAAACACAAATTAAATATTAGCCACGTTATTTTAAATTAAATCGAAAACCACTCTTCTTAAGTGCACCATCTTCCCCCACTAGCTTCTGGAATGCGTGGCCCAGGGCGAGAACTAACACCCCTGGCAACGCTTGCGTTTCTGTGGCGCCGGAAGCCGACACGCTTCCCCTGAGGGCCCCCTGACATACTGCATGAGACCTCCATGGGCGGGGTTGGGGGGGGGGAGCAATTTTCCACCCCAAACGAGGGACTGTCTCCAACAGCCACACTCCCAAACTGAAGTCTGCATTTCAGAGTCCTTAAAGCAGGAACTAAATCGTGGATTCTTTGGGGCTGGCTCGTTACCCTTGGCAACAGCCTGCTTCCCACGCCAGGTCACTCAGCGGATCCTTACTCCTGCAAAGCCTCATGCCAAGCAAAACGGCCCCCCCCAGGCCCGAGGGCCCCTGCCCTGGATGGATCAGCAGGCCTGGCCACCACCCAGAGGATGTGCCATGTTTCCTCGAGTTTTCGTCACGTTACTGAAAATACCTTTGGGTTAAGAAACTCGATAGGAGGGGCAGCGCCCTGGTCGGCGTCCCCCAGGGCTTGTCTTCCGCCCCGTCCTGCGATGGAAGAACAGACAGTCCACTCAAACACCTTTCAAATAAAGCTAGCGACGGGACCTGTGGGCAGCTCCTCCTGACACCTGACATGTGCGTCTCCGCTCACGTCACTGCAGGTGACTGGGAGAGGACACCAGGCTCTTGTGCAGGTTGGGGTTCTGGCTGTGCCGGTTCCGGCTGCGCACGGACGAGAACATGGTGTTGCAGCCCGGAACTTTGCACTTGTGCAGCTGACGGAGGTGCACGGTTTTGTAGTGGGCCCTGAAGGTCCCTCTGTTACTGTACGTCTTTTGGCAGAGGTGACACGTGATGGGCAGCCCGGAGGGCAGGCCGGCGAGGCCCTGGTCGGCCTTGTCCATCAGGACACAGATGGGGTACTCGTCCTCCCCGGGGCCGAGGCTGGGACCGTCGCAGGTGCCGTCGCTGTCGTCCATCAGCACGGTGCCTTCCTCGCTGGCCCCGTCGGAGTCCCAGGAGGACTGGCTGCTGCTCTCCGACCTCATGCTCGAGGTCGTGCTCAAGTCCAGGACGGCGCCCTCGCTGGGCGGCCCCGAGGGGTAGCTCTCCGGGCCGGCGCCGTGCACTTGGGCCATGGGGTACACCAGGCTGCCCATCCGACTGGTTCCCTTGAAGATGACGGACGTCTGGGAGGCCTGCTGGGCGAAGGCCACGTCCTGGTAGGCGTCCTTTGCCACCTCCTTGAGGAGGTACGCGGCCCGGAAATGCTCTTCGCTGCTCTCCACGGTTTCTTGGGGCAGTACTTTCTGGTGCAGGTTTAGGTTTGAGCTGTGTCTACAAGGGTAAAAAAGATGGTTAGCAATGGGTCAGGCTGTTGTGGCCAATAAAGAGTCGTCATTCTGAGCAGAGACACGAGGCAGGTACCAGACAAGGTGTGCGGCAGGTTCGACAGGCTGGGGAGGGCCGGAGGGCGCCCTGCGTGTCTCATGGGCACTGGCCCGCTGCCGTTCTCGCCAGGAATGAGCCTTCCCGGGGAAGTCGGCGGTCTGGACACTGGGAGTGTGTCCTTCCCTTCTACTTCCTGCCTCTCAGTGACACCTGACTTCCTGGGCCTCCTCTAAAGAGAATGGCTAGACAATCTCAATGAGGCCAAGTGCACTGGGACACCGGAACCAAGGGGGTCCCGGGCCATACCTGCTCACCAGTGAGAAGGAACTAAACAGAGAACTTGATTTCAATAAAACCAGGAAATACTACCTTCTAGAGTGGCACTGTCCAATCGGCAGCCACTCGTATGTGGCTTGTGGCTCTGTCATCTACTGAGAGGATACTATTTTGGATAGACGGAAACAAAATGTTCTTAAAACTTACTTCACCCGTCCCTTTGGACTTTGTCTAGTGAGGCTGCTAGAACATTAAAAATGTCCTACGTGGCTCACATCAGGAGCTGGGGCATTTGCAGGTGTATCGCTCCAGAAGGTCTATGGGCGTGAACATCTGATTGGCTGGAAACATCAGTGTGTGTGTGTGTGTGTGTGTGTGTGTGTGTGTGAGAGAGAGAGAGAGAGAGTGTGAGAGAGAGAGCGCACACTGCGTTCAGTCCCTATTTGCAACATTTCCCTGGATACCAGACAGGGGTTCTGCACAGGCCGGGAGCTCACCGCCCATCACCAGCCTCCCACCCGGTGATTATCCTGCAGGGCGGTGATGAGCACCCATTATGACTCCTTAGACTTGCACAGTATCATTTGGAGGTAACTTGTCAGTCCATGCGGGCCTTGCTGCGAGACCCCCCTGCTGCCCTGACTAGCCAACACTGCCCCTTCCCAGGGCCACCCTCTTCAAGTGGACGAGACAATGACTCCCAACGGCTCGGAATGTGTGCGCAGGTCAGACCGGGGAAAAACACCCTCCCCCCAAAATGAACAGGGACTGAATTTTCCCTTCTAAATCGCCAAGGACCTGGGAGGGGAGGAGGGCGGGGAAAGCGTAATCCTCTTTCAACTGTCCTCTGCGACTTCTCCCTGCTCACACATTCCTTTTCCTGGACGTCATCAGAATCTCGCTCCCAGATCACCCACTTTGAGGCAGCTCTGACCTGTGATCAAGTCAGCGTTCTGGGTTGACGGGGCAGGAATGCGTCAGCAGAAAACCAGACACGAGGTGGACATGCAGGTTCCAGTACGTACAAGTGATTTTTAAAAAAGGGGGAAAAAAAAGACAAACGCACTCCCTGGAACCTTGAGCAGAAAACGTCCCAGCAGCAGCAAAGCAAAGCTCAGGGCCCCCACATGTCCCGTCTGAACCTAGAGCTGCCATGACTGTGTTAAAAACACCTCCCTTCTTCCTCTCATGGGGGAACGAGCTCACGGTCCCCTGTGCTTCACCCAAGGGGCCCGCTGTATCTCCGAATTCAGAATTTCTCCGACGTTAGGAAAAGCAGGATGATGCATCATCGATGGTAATACCACATTAAAGTCCCCGTGATAAATCCATGCATATTTCTGCCCTGAACAGACACCAAAAAAATCCACACGGATGGTGGCTTTGAAAACGATGACAAATAGCCTCCCATCATTTCAGGTCGAGTCCTGTGGCCACACGAGTCTGGATTTCGGAACTGAACACCCAGGAGGGTGGAGCTAGACATGGGACAGTGTGCCCCTGGCCCGGTGACATCGGGTGACATCGTCTTGCGGGGCCAGTGAGCAGCGCAAGCTCCCAGCCCTCCCAGCCCTCCTGGAGCAGTCAGGGTGGGCGGGGCTCAGGTGACCAGGAACCACCCCCTTCAGACAGGTGCCGCCTTACCTGTCCCTGCTCCTGAGGGAAGGGAAGGTGGCTGTGCAGCCCTCCACCGTGCACGCGTGCGTCTCCTTGGCGTGCATGTGCTTGTGGTGCATCTTCACGCCGCAAGCGTTCTTGAAGGTCTTCTGGCAGATGCCACACTGGTGGCGGCTGTCTTCCCTCTGCCTCGCGGACGTGTGTGGGCCCGGGTGCTCCAGGTCCTTGGCGTCTTCGAAACAAGGGAAGGCCGCTCCTCGGGGGGACAGGGCACTGAAGAGCCCGCCAGCCAGCAGGCGCTGCTGCAGGCTGACGTAGTCTGGGAAGGGGACGCAGGGCTCCATGCCGGGTGGGAGGTGGAGGTCCCGGCCGCCGCCCTCCGCCTCCCTGGGCACCGTGGGCAGCTCCGGCTGCTGTTCCATCTCCCTCTCTGAGTCTTGTGTGGCCCGCCCAGGGCTTCCGCTGATGGCTCCCCTGGGCTCGATCACCAACGGGAGGTGGCAGGCCCTCTGCCCCTCGGGGAGGGGCTTCCCGAAGCGTCCCGATGGCTGCTCCTCCAGCCCCCTGTCCGGCCGAGGACTGTAGGCCTCCGGCTCATCCTCACTGACCACCTGCAGGGGCATGTCTTCGTCCGAGCTGAGTGTGTGCCTCTTCTCGCTAGCTATTTCCACCGTCTCCTTCTCTATTTTGATGGGCATGCTGGACTTCCGGGACTTCTTCTTGGGCAGGGCATCGAATGGCATTTCGCCGGAAACCAGCTGTTCAGAGATGGAGGAAGACAGCAGGGGGAGAGAAGGCAGCAGCCCGGGCGTGTTGGCCAGCTCCGCGGGGGTGGCCGGGCTGCGGTAGAAGGGGAGGACCGGCTGCACTGTCTTCAGGTTGGGGAACAGCACGCCGTTCTGCCCGACGCCCGGGAAGGCCGCTTGGCCCCTGGCATCCTCGCCTGCCCCGGGGCAGCCGGGGAGCGGCCTGCGGCCCGGAGACGTTGCCGTGAACCCCGCGCGCTTGCAGTTCTCAGAGCCGGCCAGGCTCAGGCTGTTCCTGAGGTCCTTGTCCCTGTTGTTCCTGTTCATGGGCATGTGCAGCCGGGGGTTGGGGTTGGCGCTGTGGCGGTTCCGGCTCCTCAGGGAGCTGAACACCATGTTGCACCCCTCGATGGTGCACTTGTGCTTGATCTTCAGGTGCACGGCGTTGTAGTGGATCTTGAGGGTGCCTTTGTCGTAGAAGGTCTTCTCGCAGGCCGTGCAGAACACCCGGCCCTTCTTCGAGCTGAGGCTGTTCCTGTCGGGCTTCGCTTTGGCCTCGGGGGACAGCTGCGGCCTCTCCAGCTTGGTGACGATGTTGTAGGAGCTGGTGTCGCTTAAATGGGCGCCGTCTTCCTTGCTGGTAAGGGCCTCGGGACAGCCCAGACACTGCTCTTTCTCGACCTGAAAGGGCGCGGAGCCGGAAGTCAGGAAGCCGCTGTCCGGGAAGGCCCCGTGCATCTCCGGTCTGGGGTCCCGACTCGGGTCCTGACCCTGCTCCAAGGCGTACTGCTCGGGCAGCGACCCCAACAGTGCGGGCGGCGCGGGGTTGAAGAACTGGAACGGCAGCATGAAAGTCACGTTGTTGATGAGGCTCTCGAAGGGGTGCACGCTGCTGGGGCTTCCCTTGTCCCCGGTGGCTGCGGGGAGGCCAGCGCCCCTGTGGCCGCAGCTCTCGATGAAAGCCCTGATGTCCACGTTGGCCGTGGGGGGCGGGATGAGCACGGCCGGCTCCTCCTTCTCCTGCACCGCCATGAGCTCCACAATGGACTTGGTCTCCCCGAAACGCAGGAACTGCTGCAGGGTAGCCACCTCCTCCTCGCCGGTCATGATGCTCCAGTGATCCAGCACCTTCCCCGACGCGTCCTAAACCCGAACCGGGACGTAAATGCATGATTAATTCCCCACTCTTCACCCTCTTCTCTGAGAGAGGGCCCTGTGCTCAGACCCCGCCCCACCGACCTCCACTGGCACCCCAGGGCACCTCTGAAAAAGACACCCCCTCCCCGGATGAGCATGGGACCTGTTCAACTCAGCTCCCACCCCCAACCTCCTCCGAGGCCAGAAACTGCAAAAAATAGACTGCATGAATGTAAGCTGCGGTCCAGAAGGGAGATGTGAAACGTGTGTTACTCACGCCTCGGGGAAATCTGGTGATCATTCCCATTGTATGTCAAACCAACTGGTCATCCCGTGTGAGGCATGATAACCTCCCCCACAAACGTGAAAACACGCATCTTCTGAAAACGGTCCCTTCTTTATCTACAGACCCTAGACGGAGCAACCAGAGCTAGATACGGCCCGAGTATTTATTCACTGCATGTGAGTAACCTGTCCAAGCAACGTCCATCGGGAAACAAAGGAGCCTGCACTGATCTACAGCCCGGGTTCACAAAGCAGAGCTGTAATTACACAGGCGTGTTGGAGATCTTTCAAACTCCAGCACGGCCTAACTTTTCCCAAAACTACAATAAATATTTTATCACAGAACATGTATTTGATGGCCTACTGAGATTTTTCCACCATGCACGTACGCGTTCTGAAGATGAGGAGGAATGTAACATCATAAATTTTTCATGCGCTAGAGGCTCAAGGTAATTGATTCCATATTTTTAATCCCAACACTAGAAAGCAAGATTATTAGGATCATTAAATATTGATCTATGTCATAATGTAAGATCGTAACACGGCTCTACATAAAAGGTTGTCTGTAGCCCGTTGGGGGGTCCTGCTTTTGGGGCGACCAAACCTGTTTGCGGAGGAAGAGCATGAGCTTCAGACTCAGAAAGATGCAGGTTCAAATTCTGGTCTGTCACAGGGGCACTGGGTGATCTCAGCAAGATTTAGAAGCACTCTGAGTTTTCAACTGGAAATTGGAGACAATCTACCTACTCCGTAAGATTTCTTATGGCTCTAGGTCCGTACACGGTTATTCGTGTGTATTTCCGTGATGCAGCCCATCGGAGAAAAGCCGGTGGGTACCCGAGTCCTGGATATACATTCCATCCCCATTTCACTGCAGTTTGTAACTGAGTTGGCCGACGTTGTCTAGTGTAGTGGCAAGAAAAAAATGCGTCAGCTGGTTCGTCCGTCAGAGACATGATGTCACTCAGAGGAGGAAATAAGTTCTTTGCCCGTGAAAACACCCGGATGACCTAGCTCGTGACAGAAAGACAGGTGGGACCACTCTGCAAGAGTAAAGAGGGGAGAGAAGGCACGAAGAGACGCACCCGCCATCTCGCCTGTGTGGACAGGCGACGGTCGAGCGTGCGGAGGCGGCGAGAGAAGCGGAGGGAGATTGAAACACGGGAGCTCGGACACGAAAGTATCGCAAGGCGATGGATTCTAGGAAGGGGCCAGCAGGGGGCAGCGGACGGCTTTGGAGAACAGAAACTGCAACTGTTCACTGGTGGCTCTGCAAGGGAAGTTCCCTTTCTGTCCCTCAAAACCTCGGTAACCTGGGGCCGAGACAGCATCTGTGTCACTGGGTATATAGTTTGCAGATAATCAAAGAGATGGAGGCAGCCCCCAGGACGGGGCGAAGGGTGCACCGGGGAAGAGCTGCTTAGCGAAACCCACGTCGGACAACTGGGTGATGCTCCCACATCCTGACTTGCACAGAGATCTTGAGGGAAGCTCTGGAGTCCTCCAGAACTTGAGGTCGGGCTTCTGCCGTTAGGAAAAGCATTAAAGGGCAGGGTGACCACACCGGCTGGCAAGGGGGTTACACCAGTTGCACGGGCAGGCGCGTGAGAAGAGGCTGGAGGGGGAAGGGCGGCCGAGGCGGCCCACCTGTAGCACATAGCCGCGGATGTAATCCTGAAGGGTCCAGTCCAGGGCGTGCAGGATCTGGAGGACCTCGTCCTGCTTCAGCACACTGAAGAGCCGGTCCAGGAGGATTTTCAGGCGGACGGGGATGGCCTGGGTCCCGTACAGCATGAGGCTGCTGATGTCGAACACCACGTTGGACTGGACGATCTCCACCTGGCTCGTCGGGTACATTGGGGGGATCCTCAGCTTACTCAGGGCTGGAAAACCAAGCGGAAGAAGCAGCGTTTCTTAAAGACAAGGTAGGCTAGCGCGGACTCTCAGCGGTGGGTTCCCACAGAGAAAACGACAGCTACCCAAGTGGTTAATTATCCTAACAGCTATCGCGGGAACTTATAAAGTGTATTGGCCCAAGGCTTTTGTTTCTCGCCCTTTCCTGTGGCATCCCTGAGGTGCCGAATGGCCATAAGCAGGGGAAGTACAGAAAACATGGGGGTAAAGACAAAGGTGGCAGCTTCCTCATCAAGAGGATGGAAAACCAGGAAGCACGAGGTGAAGACCCCGGACTCGGGAGCCTGGTGGGCCAGGGTTCAGCCCCGTCTGGCACCCCCTAGGCGTCAGGCTTGGCAAACTAAGCCACCGTAATCTATACTGTCCGAGGCAACAGACATCAGCTGCATATGGCCACTTCAATTTAGAGGTAAATTCATTAACATTTAAGAAAATGAGAAATTCCATTCTGCCCTCATGCCAGTCACGCTTCCAGCACTTGGTGGCCGCATGGGGCCAGCACAGGGTCAGGTTCAGCAGATAAAGAACACAGGACGCCCAGCTACACCTGGATAGTAACCTCAGACAAACAACCACCACGTGGGAGGTGCTCAGGCTGAACCATTGTTCATTGTTTACACGAAATTCACATGGCACCGGGCACTCTGCATCCTGTCTGGGCCAGAGCTACTGCACCAGACCACACGGGACATTCCGTCATCACGAAGTCACGGCCCTGTGCATCGCTGGAACCGGGCTGACAGAACGCTCACCGCAGGGACTTGTTAAGATTCAACGCGATAACAGATAGAAAGCTCGGAGCCGGTTATCTGGCATGCAGCAGCAACGTACACATGTTCGCTGTCATTCTCAGGCATGACATCCGTTCCTGAGAAACTATAAGTTGTTTAGAGGGAGCACGACCAACCAAAGGGGGGATAGTTACCGTGGGCCACCCAACCGTGTCTGCACTGCTCACACTGACGGTGGTTTATTTTCCCTGGTTTGAAGCGCTGGCAACTGCAGTTCAGAGTACAGCCAATAGCCTGCAAAAGAGAACACAGGTACACTGAGCCTGTGAGTGGTGTGTGGAACACGCACCGCATCTGCAAAACAAAACCTCCATTCAGTGAGGCTCGTTGAGCAACGCGGGCCCGCTCCGTGCTGGGCCCAGACATGCATGCTGGACCCCGGAAAGCAGGGCAGCTCGCCCGGGACCTGGAGATGGAGGGGACACGTAACAGACACTCTTCTGCATGGGAGGACAGGCTACCAACACCAGAACTTTTTTCAATAAGATTGTGGACTGGAAATAAACATCTTGCTCGTTGTTATTAAGAAGAGGAAGGACTCCTATTTTCACCGAATCTCTACACGGACCAGAGCAGCGATGCTGAAATGGACATGCAGGCCACCTTCCCGAGTGCAAGGGAACTGATCGGAACGGAGAGACATCTACATGCAGACTCTGCCGCCCGTCACAACGAGGCAGAAGCTGAATCCCAGAACAGATGTGAGGCCACTGAGGACGGCCCCCCACTCCACTCGCGGGACTGTGTGCCTGACGGAGACAGACACAGGCTGGACCGGCCCTGCGTGGGGGTGCCCAGCCGCATGCTGAAGTGCCGTGCGTGGTGTGTGGGTGTGGAGTGTGCTGACTTTGACATATGGCAGAAATAAAAAAAAAAAGAGAGAGAGAGAGAGAGATGTACGTGCCAACAAAAGTCTAGTATTAGCAACAAATCTTCATGGATATTTTTAAGGCGAATTCCTCAAATGGGGAGAGAAGCCTGTAGAATGTAATCTATTATTAAAGAAAAGAAGCTCTCACAGAGATCTGGCAGGGGGCAGAGCCGCTGGTGGAATCCGTACGAATCAAGAGAGCCTTGAACCTGGGGAGTGCGTGTGTTTGAGGGGGAATGAAGAAGCCCCATGATTAGGGGTTTAAACCTCCTTCTGCCAATTAAGGGACTACGTGGCCTTGTGTGTGGACAGGGAGGGGAGAGTCTGGTCTAGGACCCAGGAAACTCACTTGAAGGGAGTCTGGAAGGAGTCTTCACTTACATAGCAGTTCTTAGTGGGGTTGTGAACAGTGCGGGCCGTTTGGAAAAACAGTCTGGCTGAGTCACCGCACCATCCAGCAGTTTCACTCCTCGGTATGTGCCCAGGACCATGGAAAACAGCTGTCCAGACACAGACTTGTCCCCCGGAGTGGAAATAACCCCATCGTTCTCGACTGATAAACAGATGGGCACAGTGTGGTGCAGCCCCACGGTGCGGCACTGCTAGGCAGGAAGAGAGAATGAGGTCCTGGTACCTGCTACCTCATGGACGAATCTTGAAAACATTTGGCTACAGAAAGACGTACACCAAAAACGACAGTAGTATGAAAAGTCAGAGACTGTATGGATTCATCTATAGGAAATGTCAAGAATAGGTCAATGTACAGATTCAGAAGGCAGACCGGTGCTTCCCAGGGGTTGCGGGCAGTGGGCAGGGACTGCTCATGTGTGGTAGTGAGGGGAGAGTGGTATTCTTTTCTTGTGTTTGTTTTCATCTTTGAAAAAGCAGCTTTACATGGAGATATAATGCACATACACAATTCACCCCCTTCAAGTTTACAGGGGAATGATTTTTAGTATATTCACCAAGTCATGCATCATCACAATGCAATTTTCATCATCCCCAAAAGGAGCCCTGGTCCAAGTTTATGGTGGACATGTGCCTTGACTGGTTTTGGGTATATTCTTGGGAATGGAACTGCAGGATCTTAGAGTGACTCCATGTTTCGCCGTCTGAGAAAACTGCCAAACTGCTGTCCGAAGGGGCTGCACCATTTTGCACGCCCACCCGTGATGTAGGAGCGCCCCGTCTCCCCACATCTGCGCCGCCACGTCACGAACAGGCGGACCGCGGATGACTTTGTGGCCGTGGATATACTCCCAAGGATGCTCCAGTGATGGCTCCATGTCATTACACATTTGCCACACCCACGGGATGAGCAAACACCAAGCGCGACCTCTAAGGTGACCGCTCCAGGCTCGCGGTGATTACCAGGAGTCAGCGGGGGCTCTTCATGGTAAAAACTGCGCCCCCTGCTGGGGGGCACTGGCTGTGGCGGGGGGCCTGGGTGCAGGGGGTGACAGGGAGGTCTCTGCCCATTCTATTTTGCTGTGAATCTAAAAAGTCACGAGAACAAACCAGTGAGCTTGCTTCCACACAGCTTAAAATTCACACCATTTAACTGTCATCTACCACTCTTTTCAGATGGCAGTAGGCCCAATCAGAGTGACCGTCTAGACAAGAGACGTTCAGGTGACGGAGAGGGCCATTCATAAAGGAGGTGAGTGGCAGGTGGCGACGGTGCTACCAAATTACTAAAACACAGGAAACACAGGAGAAAAGGTTTTACTCTCTGGAAAGTCTTATGACATGGTACAAAGAACTCCAGATAATCCCAACACCGTCTTCCCCGTAATGACGCAGGCCTTTCCACTGGGGGCGGCATCGTCCCCGGGGGGGTGCACCTTGTCATGGGGGTGAAAATGATCCCTGTTTCTATGTACAAAGCACAGATACCCCTACATCAACAGATATAGTGTACGGTGTCACAAAATTTCGCTGGGGGAAGCACATGTAGGAAAACATTTCTAAAGTTTCCTTAGATCTGGGGGTGTGGGAAGAAATGAGAAAAAATTGAGAAACCCTGGTCCAATGCCAGAGATTGTTTTCACTTTGTGGTTATAGCTCCTACTTATATGCACATTTTACTAATGTGTTAAATACAGGAACACATATATCTACACACCTATATGCATCATTACCTAGTTATTTTGACTGGAAGGTAAAGGATAAAAATGAGTTAGTAATTTAACTTTTATTAAACATCGTCAAAAGGAACAATGTAAGGGGCACTGGTATTAGTCGGTGGCACACCTGATATGTAGTCCAGCTTCTCAAACTTCTCCGCGACTCTGAATGTGGGCTCCCAGACTAACTCATCTGCATTCTCAATGGCTAGCAATACACTCAGTATGAACTCTCTGAAATATTTCATTACCTATGCTCTATCACTCTTTTAAACAATAACTTTTTAAAAAGATTTGCATTTATTTTTAGAGAGAGGGGAAGGGAAGGAGAGAGAGAGGGAGAAAAACACCAGTGTGTGGTTGCCTCTCACATGCCCCCTACCGGGGACCTGGGCCACAACCCAGGCCTGTGCCCTGACTAGGAATCAAACCGGCGACCCATTGGTTCACAGGCGGGTGCTCCATCCACCCAGCCACACCAGCCAGGGCTTAAACAAAATTTAAAAAATGAGAAAACTTCTCACTTTGGATGATGTCCCCGAAAATGCCACTCCCTCTTTAAAAACAAGGCGACTCTCCCTGGATTCACGCTGAGCCCAGGACTTGCTGGGTGACTGACTGCACGGGCCCTGTGCAGCGGAAGTGCACAGGCATCCATTCCCGGTGCAGCTCACAGCCTCCAGCTAAAACTCATTTTCTGCCACATCTCTTGATCCCTAACTCAAGGTCTGTCAACTTCAGCCTTGTAATCATTCTGAGTTGGACAGTTCTTGGTGGGGACCAGGGGGCTTGTCCTGGGCATTGCAGGAAGTCTGCCCCTGGCAGCACAACTGCCCGGAGCTGAGACCCACAGACCTAACCTGATCGTTCAGTTCTGGCAGTTTCTAGTTTGGGGACAGAAGTTTAAGCAATTTAAGCTACAATTCCAATGCACGCCTACTACTTTGTCAGAACCATTCGTGTGGTTCTATACGGACCTATTTGAATAAGGCTGAATAAAGCTCATCAGACATCTACTGAATGAGCTCTCAGGGAAATTATTTATGAACTAAGAAAGCTAATCATGGCGTCTTCGAGAGCTTTTAATATAAGGCTCCTGAGTTGTTCCAACCTCCTCAGAATTCTATAACGTAGTCAAATTATAGCACCATTATCCAAAGACAAATGAAAACTTCTAAAATGAAATCAAACGACAAAAAAAAAAATGGTCCTTACAGGACACAAAGTACTCACGCAAATCAAAAGGGAAAGCTCTCAAAGCTGAAATCGTTCCCTTTGGACTCCTGATACGTGTTCCCTTCCTCAGAAACATAAAGCAGGTATGTCCACAACATGCCGAACCCATTGACACATGGTTATTGCTTTCTGTGCACTCATTTTAATCAGATTATTTCTAAATTTAAAAAAGACTTTATTTATTTATTTTAGAGAGGATAAGGGAGGGAGAATGAGAGGGAGAGAAATACCAACGTGTGGTTGCCTCTCACACGCCCCCTACTGGGGACCTGGCTTGCAACCCAGGCATGTGGCCTGACTGGGAATCCAACCGGTGACCCTCTGGCTCTCAGGCCAGTGCTCAATCCACTGAGCCGCACCAGCCAGGGCCTGAGTTGTTATTAGTCACTTTGGTGTGCTACAAATCAACAATCAAAATTCTGGTCTGCTCTTTTGGTAACTGCCCTTCGCTCATTTGTTCATCCAGGTGTTACTGACACCCCTGGTGTGTGATGAATGATGATGCAGTTATTTGCAGTCTCGCGATTAGGACGTCATGACCCGGTGCTGAGCTGGGTCGGAGGGTCCTGCCTCCTGTCCCGGACACCTCTGAGCTGCCTCCAGCTTGGGGAGACCCTGACTTGAATTCCAGACACACAGTGGGGCAGATGCACAGACACCCACAGCTGGTCAGAGCACGTCTTCCATGGGACACGCATTATTGACCTTGAGAATAAAAACTGTCTACCTCAAAGCTGTTTTCATCTTTGGTTCATGCAAATATATTCCTATCATGGAAGAGAAACTCAGGGAGATGTTCTTGGGGGACTGGGTGGAAGAGAGGAGAAGGAAAATCACAGAAGACCTTTGGGGTCTGCAGATTCCTGGCACAGACTCCTTCAGGGGAGTCGTCTGTGGTCTGGCTGAGGAGCAAGGCCCAGCGGGGCTGCTCTGTGGGATCCGGTCACTTCATCTGCCCTGTCCAATGCAGTGACCATTTACTCACATGTGGCTGTTTGAAA